GGTTAGAATGGGTCTTTAGCAACCCATGCCTGTCTATAGAGGCGACTATGATTGTAAGAAGCGACTAACGGGATCGGGTGGTCAGGTTCGCCAACTGCGTAGATCAATGCTCATGATATCAATCACTGGATTGTCTTGTCCAGACTAGATTATTTACAGACCGCCGTCATATAGCTGGAGTATTGCTGAGTGCGGCGTTAAACAACAAGCAAACAACGTTTATTCATGTTCGGATTGGAGATTAATCGGGCAACGTTGAACAGGACCAGTTACCCTTCCAATGAATAACATACATTCTGTTTCATGAGGACATCGTTGATTGACAATAAAACGTATGTGCTCAATGATTGATGTGAGTGGGTATATCAGGACATTCATGCATCCACTCATCTTCTCATGACATTCTTGTGATAGCCATAGTCACTTTTCACGGAGACAGAAAAACTGGGTCCATTCCAAGTGTACTTGACACCATTGTCTGAGGAGTGCTACATGTGGCGACAGCTTCTCTTTGACCGAGATTCGTGAGTCCTTTACATTTACTCATAAATTGCAAAATTATGTGATATACACTTTATCATTGCTGTTTATATTTTTTTTAGGTCGTTGCACAGCCGTGGGGTAGCCCAGTGGTAAAAGCGTTCGCTCGTTACGCCGAATATCGGGGATTTTATCGGAAAAAAATAACTTGTCCCCGAAAGTTCTCGAAATACATGTATTTACAAAATGCCAGCACCTCTTGCACAGTACACTGTATGTGATTATCTTCAGTGCATGATGGCACTGAAAAAACATGATAATTCATATATCTTCTACAGAATAAATGTCCATAAAGTGTAAGTTAGTCCGGTATTCTCTAAGCTGTGAGCACTGTCTAAAACCAATTTCGATGCAAAAATCAAACATAGGGGTAGTGTGATACAATTGTGATCAAACAGGGGTAGTGTGAAGCGCACAGAGAAGATGAAAGTCTTAAGAACAGACTATTATTACCCAAATGGGAGGGTGACTTTGGTTTTACGCCGCATTTAGCAATATTCCAGCAATATGACGTCGGGAAATCGAACCCGGGTCTTCGTCGTGACGAGCGAACGCTTTAACCACGAGGCTACCCCACCGCTCCCAAATGAGAGAGGTGGGGTTGAATTAATATCGGTAGACTCTCAGTGAGAAATGTGATTGGCGCAATTATTAATGAAATAATTTGAGTAGTTGAGAAGAGTAACAGCACTACGTTTCATTCATTCACAAATCTAGAACATGCAACAGGGGAAGATCAGCGTTTTCATTCAAGAAATCCATGTGAGTGAGTTGTGTCCCTACGGTTCGATGAAACCTACGAGCCTGCGTATGGTGCTGATAAACCTAGAAACAAAATCGGGGCGAACTGGGATTCGAACCCTGGCATGCTAGTTTCCGGCGTGCCTAGTGGACGCAACTCTGAACAGCTTATTGCGGCGCCCTGCGATGACTTGGCCACCCCCAACCAAACCCTCCAACCCCACCCCATCCTCTTTGTACCTTTGATGATTATTTGAAGGTAGTTATTGAATGTTACTTTCATCATTTTGTACGTACTCAGCCTCTTCTGGTACACCAGCTCGGGACCGTAGTCCTGCAGAGAGGGGCAGTTAAATGTCTCAGTGGCTCCGTGTGTCTCAGTGGTATTTGACAAGGCAGGTGGACACTGCATATGATTAAAAGCAACCCCTACAACAGCATTGGGTGAGGTGAGATGGGATTTAACGTTGCGTTCAAGATTATTCTTCCCCGCCCTTAAGGCGGGGAAGTATACGGGAAACGTTAAATTTGTGGCATGTATGTCGACATGTTGGTTTATTTGAAATTTCAAGCCACGCATTTACGGAAACAAAACATACAAATCATGTGCGTCAAATGTTGATGCTATTCTTTTCCAGCAATAAGAGATACTTCAAAGTCGTCTTTATGTAGTTAATTGATGCATCTGACCGTTTCTGGTCATTAGCTGACATTATTAAACCATTCATGTGTAATCCGATGTCCTTTTTTCCTCAAGGACTAATTTTCTGATTTTCACGGTGTATACAAAAGAAGAACTGTGCTCCGGAGATCGTAAATAACAGCATAATAAAAATTATGTTCTGAATATGCTTATTCATGAACAACGACATCTCAATTTAAATGTAATATGGCTGAATTCCATATTCTACATACCACACTTTTGATTGTTTGGATGCTCATGTTCACTGGAAATATTTGGAATAGTTATATTCCGTATTCTGAATTAACCCAGTCCCCCATGTGTGTTTTTTAATCAGTGCACCGCACATAACCACATGTGAAACGTTTGGTAGCAAAGTCAAAGCAAAATCGGAGTAGTGTGTCAGCGAATTTGCTTCAAGGCTGTAGTATTTTTCAACCGTTTAATGGAATTCAATGTACAGCCGTAGCTCTGGTCATTCATATATTTTGTGTCCCATAGCTCAAATCTATTTGCGTCTGTACCGTGTTCCACTGACCTCGATAATCTGTGGGATGAAGGCACAGCTCTCTACAGCCACAAAGTTAACACCGAAGGCTATGAGGTGTATTTAGGTCATAATCAGTCCCCAGCAGCCACTGCCTCAAGCGATATTGTCTACATAACAGATCAGTTTTATGGCTCCGTCACAGGTGCTCCAAATATTGAAGCAGGGAAAACAAATTTCATAGAATCATTTCAAAAAGCAATATTGATATCCCCGTCACTTTTGGTAACTTTTAATGATGTCTCCATTCCATTTTTTTTACGGATTTCGATTCGTATGCATTATTTGCTGTCATCAGCGGAATGGTCTTGGTAAGATTGATCCGAATGGACAAGCTGTTTTACTTCTGTTTAGTATTATGGATGAATTGTCATGTTACATCTTAACAGTATATATATATCAGGCTACTATGCTTGTCGTAAGAGGCGTCGATCCCAATTGCGTGGATCGATGCTCATGATATTAGGCACTGGATTGTCTGGTCCAGACTCGATTATTTACAGACCGCCGTCATATAGCTGGGATATTGCTGAGTGCGGCGTTAAACGACAAACCAATCTATCATCATCATATGAACTCAAACCAGTCATTGTTACAAGTAAACCACATTCCACAACAGTTACTGACACTGGATAAAAAAACAGTATATAGAAAAAAAACAAGTAACTCAACTCATCATGATCACAATTACTATTCTTTGAAAGAAAGAAATACACACAAAAACTGACCAAAAAACGTAAAACAAGAGACGAGGAATCTCCGTTATCGATTAGTTCCGGTATTGAAATGTTCTCCAACTACGTGATAATATTTTGAGTATGTGCATCTGTGGTTGTGACAAAAAGACCTTATCTAGTATGACTTTTTTTGCCATATGGAGCCCTTAGTATTTTCATTTACATTATTATAACCAAATGCTAAGTGTAAAAAGAATGTGATCTATTTTTTGAGTAAGTGCATCTGCCAATGTTGTTGGCAGTTTTGATACTATTTCCACATGTTTACATTTGTGCCAGAAATTGCTTCCATTTCCTTCGATCTACTTTTTAAATAAAGACCCAGGTAAGAATAGGTCTTCAGAAACCTATGCTTGCCGTAAGAGGCGACGAACAGGATTGGGTAGTCAGGCTCGCCGATTTGGTCGATGCATAACATCATATTCCAATTGCGTAGTTCGATGCTCTTGGTGTCAATCACTGGATGATCTGGTCCAGACTGGATTATTTACAGACCTCCGTCATATGGCTGGAATAATGCTGAGTGCGGCGTTAAACAAGAAACTATTTTTAAATAGACCTACCCTATGCAAATGTATCAACTGTATTGCCCAATACTCAAAATAAATAATATTTTTTTCCACAACAGCGTTGTGTTATTTGTGGTTAATATAATTATGCTCCATCATGCCTTTCAGTAACATCATAATTATGCGTTTGTGAGGCATCACATATGGCGGGGAACTTTGATGCTCTGCATCAATGTTTTCTTGTTTCACTTATATGCATGCTAGTTTGAGGTTGCATATACTATTCCGATACTAACGCAGATTTAATACTGCTAGCCACTTAGATACCATGCCGTAGTTTAACATGAATACCCCAATCAGACACAGTATACTGACTCTGAGCCGACCACTCCTTGTTTTAGCCCCTTAATGTCAAGCGCCAGGCAGGGTAACAACAAGTACCATATTTTAACGCCTTTTGGTTTGACGCGGCCGGGGATCTTGGCGGACGCTTCACCACTAGACCACAGAGGCTGTCATATGGAGTATGGATGTTGAACACAATTTGTAGATGTATTTTCCTTTATAAACTTTACACTGTACACAACATGTAATTTAGAGTTGCACTTAAAACGTTGAAACAATTTGGCTTTGTTTGGATTCTCCCGGTAACATTTACTACTGTACTTAATTCTACTAAAACTGTATTAAGGACACACTAGCAGTTAATGATATTCATCTTCGATGGCATCTACATTTTGTTGCCGACTGTAATCACAATATACAATTCCTTGCAATATTATTGTAACGACCAGTTTCAATTTTTAGCTAACGACAAGGTATTCCAATCATTGTTAAATGATTCCTTAACTCGAGGTAAAATAATCTCAATAAATTTCGTAATCAAAAACTTTCAAATTACTATACAGTACAAGTTTCCTTTCACGACATACGTTTTCTCTCCGTTTCACAGAAGTTACTTTGATAATCATAAGGACCAAATAGATCCAAATTAAAATGAGAAGATTAAATTAAAAAGGCTATTTCAATCAATCCAGTGTCATTTTTCAGGCAATATGTGTATTGACTGAACATTTCCTTCAATCTGTGCATTGTCTGGGTGAATCAGTCAATGTACATATGGCCTGATTAGAGACATTGACTGTAACATAACTCTCGTAACTTCATATAGACTGGCCCTACCTGTTTTATGTTGTATATATATATTGCGGTATTTTATTTGGGGGGAGCTTCAATAAATTATCTGTCTGGTGTTTCTATAAGGGCGGTTTGGCGCATTGTGGTGTAATCTGCTAAACCCACGCTGTCGTGAATCTTGTCGCCTACTGATTAACAGGGGGACATTTCTTGGATCACTTATTGATCTGTACTAGATCAACGACTCCGTGTACAATGCTTCGATCAGCGATGACTGAGACGGGGTCATATAGATGTCTTCACGGTTTACCGCAAACACCCGGACTTGAATGACGTCACAATGCACTTCAATCAGCGATGATGGAATGTTTAGGTGATACGTACGTGAGGATGATTAGGCTCCATTGTGATCGTCTACAAGATGTTTGGAGAAACGAAGAGATATTTGTATAGTAGATTTAATTATGTTTATACGTGCATTATCATTAAGATTTAAGTGTTGAAGCGAATGTTATTTCTCTCATAAATCAAGCGATTTGTTGCATATATGTTTGTTTTTGTTTTTATACGATTATTATGCGTATCGTCCGAAAAATGAGAAAAACAAAACAAAATATTTATATCGATGTGTTTACTCTGCATTGCAATAAATTACATTTCTTCCCTATCTCGTTCGCCGTCATTTAGCTGGAATATTGCTGAGTGCAGCGTAAAACAACAAACAAACAAACCATAATCATTATCTCGTTACGAATAACCAAACTCTTACAAAAGTGTGCAAATATATACAGTAAACTACGGTTATAACGAACTCAAAGGGACCACTAATTTTAGTTCGTTATATCCGTAGCTCGTTATAAGCATTTCGACTGTCAGACACTATTTATGAAATTAACAAGAAGGCTACGAAGGCAGTACTTATTTATATTTATAATATCAAATCATCCATGCATAGCGTGTTTTGTTGAACTTGATTGAGTTGTTCAATGCGACGCTTGCGCTATCTAAGAGACTGGTCGATCTTACATTTAGATGCCAGAGTAAACATTTGCCACCTACATGTTTAATTTCTATCAAAACAATTCTTTCAAGTGAGACAGGTATTCTCTGCCTCATCAAAACATCCGAGACAAGATTATAATTGAAATGTCTTAGGTCAATGCGCTGTCGCGTGTGTGATCTTTCTCGTGAACCCGTTACTGTTATAACAAAACGCTTTCTCTGATTGGTTGCTTTCTTAAGACGTCTGGCTTCTTAACCAATCACTGGCCTCGACAAGCGTCGTCGCGGGTAATTCGCCTGTCTGAAACCGCCGTGTCGATTGATGGCTGCCGCAGTGGCGACCTTAGCATCACTAATCTGTTCGGGTCGAAGGGGAGCATCTCCATATATAACTCCAGCAGAAGAATAAGGGATATTCAGCATATGCCAAGGCGACAGAAACACACGTGTTTTATTTTGTGTTTTGAGCAAGTTCGTTGGACAGTTTGATACAAGCCAGCTCTCTCACGATCATGATAATGAACGGACATGGTGGTATCGCCCCGCTTGATGGCTCGGTGAAGTTTGTCACGCGTTCCTTTCCACACGAACGTCCGTCGTTGCAAATTCCAGATCATGGTAAGTGTTATTTTAATAAATGAGTGAATATTATTTTACGCCCCGTGAGTGATATAAGATGCGAATCTATGTACATTTATAAGTTTCAAGTGACATATTTTAGGAAATGATTAAGAATTTATTATAAACATTCGAAGTAGATCTGCCATAATCGCTACGACTTCACTGAATCTGTATCATGAGTTTTCAAAGTTACAAGATGTAATTTGTTTTTCATACAGAAACACAAAGCATATGCGTAGGGACAAATAGAAAACGACTCTCTTTTGTGGCACGGTGGCCCGCTGGTCTAAGGCATGTAACTATTCAATGTATCGAGTTGTGTCCCTTAACCGTGACAGGATCAGCTTGCCATGGGTTCGAATATCTGATTCGCGCATGTCAATACAAGACAGTTGTAAATGCTTATGACGTACATCGATGTAGGTTGTTCTACCACCCACCGTGGTAGATTTGATAAACTGATCAAAGCGGCGTTAAATCCATGAAACCCACTCGTTCTGATAACAATTGGTCTTTTTGTTAACAGGGCCACCAGTGTGCACAGGCTGCCATCACGTCATCCTGGACGAGTTCGTGTCGAGAGTCCAGGGCAGGCCATGGCACTCAGGGTGCTTGAGGTGCTCTGTGTGCCACGAACATCTCACCTCCACGTGTTATGCCCAAGGAAGTCACTTGTTTTGCAAAGAACACTTTTTCAAGTAGGTACCAACTTTATCCTTACACAACCATATCCTAGAATTATTTGGCTCAGACGTCAAAGGCGCCGCTATTAGCTGTGCAACGAGTAGCGTCCCTTTGGCATGCCAGGAACCTATGATTGTGGGTTCGAATCCCGGTTCGGCCCGTATGTTTCTAGGTTTGTCAGCACCATACCCGTGCTCATTGGTTTTACCAAAGTGGTAAACCTCTGAGACCTGCATCACTTAGGGCTTTCCTCCCACATTAAGCCGACACGCAGGGATGTACTAGTAACTGGAATACGATTAAAAGTGGCGTTAAACCCAACTCACTCCGTCACTCTATTTACCAGTAACATTGGGCATAATAGGAATGTTTTATCAAGTAAAAACGTATATTCAAGTGTGTTTTATTTCAGCAGGCTACTCGGTGCGTGTTGTGCTGGGTGTGGGGGAGGGATACACCCAACGGAACACGTGAGACGCGCCCACGTAAATCTGTATCACACATCGTGCTTTACCTGTGTTGTGTGCGAGAAGAACTTAGAGACTGGGGAGGAGTTTTTCCTGCGAGATGACGGGGCCCTTATCTGTAGCCATGACAACAATAACAAAGACGCAGGTGAGGACTTGAAAATTATCTTGAAAATAATTTACGAGCTACAAGGAATTTCATGATTACATGTGTATATGCCCCGAGTTAATAAATTGAGGTCCTTCGGGGTCTTGTATTTTCAACATTAATTCACAGTGGACAGAAAATAGTGAGGTTGTCATTCCCAGGCGGCACTTAACCCAATATTTAGCCAATCGAAAGATTTAACGTCACGTAAATTATCAGTGAGTGAGTTAAAATTTTACATCGCATCAACAATACTGCAGCCATATCACGATGAGAACAAGACAATCATTTCCAGATTCAAAAATGGATAGTAAAACGGTCAGTATCACAATTGAATTATAAAACAAACCAGATCAAATTCAAACATCATTATCTATATACTTAGTGATATCAATTAAAAATAGGCTATAAACCACCAGCAACCAAAGTTAGACCACCTTACTGGTGATCATAGGGTTCGTTTGTTTGTTGTTTAACGCCGCACTTAGCAATATTCCAGCTATATGACGGTGATCTGTAAATAATGGAGTGTGGACCAGACAATCCAGTGATTGACATCATGCGCATCGATCCACGCAATTGGGATCGATGACATGCGTTAGCCAAGTCAGCAAGCCTGACCACCCGATCCCGTTCGTCGCCTCCTACGACAAGCAAAGCCACCATCTACGGCAAGCATGGGTGGCTGAAGACCTATTCTACTCCAAATTGCGTACATCGATCCTCATGATGTTAATCACTGGACTGTCTGGCCCAGACTCGATCAACTACAGACCGTCGTCATGTAGCTTGAATATTGCTGAGTGCAGAGTTAGACAACAAACAAACAAATTAAATCCACCTCGCTCCCATATGCTTTATTGAGAGTGATCGTTATTGTAGGAACACGGTCATAGATATAGTAGAACACAATTGTAGCAGATTGTACAGTTATTTAACCGATTCAGACCTGACCAATATTTAACTGATTCAGACTTGACCAATATTTAACCGATTCAGACCTGACCAATATTTAACTGATTCAGACCTGACCAATATTTAACTGATTCAGACTTGACCAATATTTAACTGATTCAGACTTGACCAATATTTAACTGATTCAGACTTGACCAATATTTAACTGATTCAGACCAGACCAATATTTAACCGATTCAGACCTTACCAATATTTAACTGATTCAGACTTGACCAATATTTAACTGATTCAGACTTGACCAATATTTAACTGATTCAGACCTGACCAATATTTAACTGATTCAGACCAGACCAATATTTAACTGATTCAGACCTGACCAATATTTAACTGATTCAGACTTGACCAATATTTAACTGATTCAGACCTGACCAATTGGAATAAACTTTCAGTTCATGTTAATAAACCTCAAGATTTATTTGACTTTGTGATGTGGAAGATAATCTGACAAAACTCTACCCTACACCGCCAAATGTATTGCCACAACTTGCTATTGCACGAGTGAGCGGTTAGTGCTTTACGTCGCATCTACAGCGAGCTACTGCATGACATTGATGGCATTCATGCAGTGTTTATGCAGAACTAATACATGTGCAACTAAGAACATCCCTTCCTCTTCCAGGCCATGGATCAAAAGCTAGTAACGAAAGGAAATCACGAACAACCCTATCAGCCAGCCAGACGGAAGTGCTCTCCAACAGCTTCCGGTCATGCTCAAAGCCTTCCCGGCAGATGCGAGAGCACTTAAGTACAGAAACTGGCCTTGATGAAAAAGTCATCCAGGTGTGGTTTCAGAACAAGAGGGCGAAGTGCAAGAGAGATGAACATCATACATCTGAGCCCTCCATAGATTTAAAACATCACCAAAGACTGGAATTCAACGCAACTCAGACTACAGTGCCGTTGAACGGAGGTAAATACATGTTCAGCTTTTATGAAACATGGATTTATGTAATTTATAAAATAAGGCAATGTTATTTACGTATATATATTCAAAATCTCGTCTGGAACGATTCGGTGTGAGGATCTGATTTTATATTTATTAAACAACTACATTGAGTATGCCCTTCATATATACTGCTCAAAAGAAGTTAAAGAACACCCGATTCTTTCATATCACTATACACCCGTGAAGATCTGGGTTAAAATAGGTCTTCAGGAACCCATGCTTGCCGTAAGGGGCGACTGTGTTTGTCTTTAGGCGACTAACGGGATCGGGTGGTCAGGCTCGCTGACCTGGTTGATGCATGTCATCGTATCCCAATTGCGTGGATCGATGCTCATGATGTCAATCACTGGATTGTCTGGTCCAGACTCGATTATTACAGACCGCCGTAATATTGCTGAGTTCGACGTTAAACATCAAACAAACAAAAGTCATATTGTTATGGTTAATCTGTCATGAAAAAGGAATATACCCTTTGTACTTGATTCCGCCCTATATTTACACATTCGTTTTACAATTCCAGGCTATGAAGACGATCGAGTTTCACACGACGTCCTCCATGCCGTTCCCCATGAGAACCAACACGCCCATCACGCTGACGTCACTTGGGGAGCCGAGTTTTGGGATGCGCATTTCCCGCCAAGTTTCGACTTAACTGAGGATGAAATATGTTCGAGTCAAGGCGCGTGGGGAGGCTGTGATCAGATGATGAATTACAGACATTAATACAATAAAATTGGTTTAAAAAAATATATATTGTGTTGTTCACGAGTCCTTCAGAGAGAGTGTTGGTTTTAGCGCCGCTTTGAACAATATTCCAGTTATGTTACAGCCTGTCAGCGGTACGTGGGAGGAAAGCCCGAAATAATGCAGGTCCTAGACATTCACCACTTTACACTCTCATTAAAATCAGATCTAAGTTCTCGCTGCCGCTAAACAAAGACTTGAAGACATCCCATTACGGGTCACGTCACAACGGAAGAAGTTAACATCAGCCAATTAGAAAGCAGCTTTCTCGAGCTTCACGGCACTCGTTTCAACCTGGCGACTTTCATTTCAGACTACGCTTGAAATATATGTTGAGACAGTTCTCGATTAACATTTTGAAAACTGAACAAACGAACATTCGAGAATGTCTTATATATGGTTCAGATTGTATGGCAGTGCTTCCCAGGTAATGTACAACGCCTCCTCCGTTCAAATCGTTATCCCACGGAAGCGAGAGTTAGACGATAATTTTGACGGAATCAGTTATTGCTCATAATGTCAACCACTGGTTCAAGCATGCAGTCTACATTACCGTAATTGTTTGTATAAGTGAGAGAGAAAGCATGGTTTGGAATATCACGACATCACACAATGCACTTGTTTGTTTGTATATTGTTGTTTAACGCCGCACTCAGAAATATTCCAGCCATATGACGCGGTCTCTATTAGTCGAGTCTGGATCAGACATTCCAGTGGTTTACACCATGAGTATCGATTTACGCATCTGGTATACGATGACATGCATCAACCAAGTCAGTGAGCCTAACCACCTGATCCCGACAATCATGGGTTGCTGAAGACCTATTTTAACCCGGATCTTCAAGGTTATGAACACTTCTAGGGAATCGAACTGCCTTGCGATGGACGGCTGAACGCTTTAATCACAAGGCTACCCCACCCTGTATTTATGAATGCAGGTATAGAGCTTCTATTCAAATGTTCGTATGGATGACCATCTTCCCGAGGCAAGAGAGTTAATTGACTTTAAGTCCAGTTTCCACGCTTGCCGAACTAGGCTGGAATTCCTGGGCTCGATCGTTGCGCCACCAGTGGCTATTACGAGTTATGTCCCTTCTATGCCTCTCCTATGGACCAATCTGATTCCACCTCTCGTTTTACTTGCATTTGCTTCAAACAAAATATCAGCGCCCAGTCAGGACGATCTGATCTATAATCAAAGTGCAACAAATCTCGCGAGCACCTTGATCAAAAACATGAAAAGATTTGGAAAATATCTGTAGACAACGAGTTGGCGGTGCTCATCCTTTGCAATCAACCGAAATCTGCACGACGGTTTACGAACCGGATTTCGATTTCGTTGCGCGATTGGACAATGCATGGACTCGTTAGTCTAGCCAAAATGTAACTCCATAATTGCAGCCTATTTCGGCAAGGGTGGAAACTGGACTTTAGTTGTCAGTTAACGCTCTTGCCGCGGGAAGATGATGGATGACATTTGTTATATATGCGACTAAATATTTTCTATGACCAAAGACCTGAAATTAAGAAGTGAAGGTCACTACCCAACAAGAACTCCACCTACCCCGTCTGACCCCTACCCAGAATATTTCCATATCGTGTGACCTTTGTGGATTATGTCCGTCTCCTCACCAGAATATATTGGACTATAACTGCCGACCAGACTGTAGTCAAGTGTGTTTAGGAAACTATCAACGTATTTGAATAAACACTTAAACTACACTCCTTGTTCATTGCTCTTGACCAAGTAGCTGCGGCCAGACAGGTCAAATGTCAACAAGCAAACTTTGATGTGATTGGTTAATGAGCCAGACGTCTGGAAATATCAACCAATCACCTTGCCAGGTTTTTATGTCGCGCACGTGCAGATTACATAACATATAAGTACTATCTTCATATGTTAGTTACAAGCGTTTCGTGGCATTCAGAGCGTTAACCTTAACGACTTTGACAGTCATAACCAGACTTTTGTAGATGTTGGTATTGTCTTGTTACACAACAGTTCCGTGATAACCATCGGTCAGATCTAGCATCGCGGTGACCTCTCCGGATTTACAAACAATAACATTACTTTGAGATTGCATGACAGCTACAAGAATGCATATTTGCTAAGAATGTTACATTTAGAATTAAGAACATTGGGAATTCGAAAATGGACACAATTTAACTCTGAACACAATGTCATAATATCTGACTCACCTGGAGAAAAAGGGACATTATGGGATAGATGTTTCACCTCAACTTACTTCCCTTAAAACGTCTTGTGTGTGGACTGCATAGAAATATTATATTTTTCTCTAATTAGTTCGTAATGAAATAAAAACAATATTTCAATTTTTTAGCAACATGTCTACTTTCAATTAATCACACATTACATCTAAAATCTACAATCATTACATAACAAGTTATGCGTCTGACAACGGGACTTTGCAGAAAATGAGTCCAAATGTTTGATGCCGTGTGTCTGTAATAAATATGAATTGAAGCTTATAAATTGTATTTTTTGTGGTCCTTAGATACTGTAGTTTTAAAATTTAAGTCCAAAAGTGATTATTCACCCAAACGTTCCCTTATCTCATGGGTGGGGGGCTTAAATAAACTGTTATTAAATAAATAAATAAACTTAAATATCTGTCTGAAAAGCTATTCAAGATGACGTATTTCAACGTGCGACAATCCCACTTTCAATTCGGTTTAAAGATATTATAACTGAAAAATGTCTTTTGAAAGAAATTTATTCAACATGAGATGAATCGTGAATGTAGTACAGTAAATAAAAGCGACAAAACCCCTTTTTCATATTCATTAGAAATATCTGCCCAAAACAGAGTCGATTGTATGTATTGTATAGTGATGATAACAGGTTTTTGCGAAAAGGTGAGTGAGTGCCCAAAGCGATCTTAGCGCTTAGGTGATCGTAACTCCCATACCTTAACACAGACTTACGACGGCTGTGGCACCCAAGTCCCCCGTATCACAAAGCCACCTTAACGCTACAGCCGTTGTAAGTTTATGTTTAAGTATAGAGCATACACTTAAAACTTACTGTTGATGAAAGAAATATCTGTGTACAATGAAATCTCATTAACATGGCGGAGAAAGGCGGAGTGCAGGTCATAGACAACGTGGTGCCGATAAGGACTGACTAGGAGTGAGTTTAACCGCTTTGAACAGTATTCCTCGAGTAAATTAAGTGTCACTACAATTATACATCCACTTGAAGGTTGACGGTAAATTCATATTGAACATTTATTTCGGCATATCTTATTCGCTATTAATCTCCATCTCAAAAGGATAACAGTCCGCAATGTATCATGGTAACCAGGGGAACAAACTGATGTATAAATAATGCAAATAAAAACAATTCGTAATCAAACATAATTGTTATCCAAACAACCCCTCGAACCCTCTTTGGACGAGACAGTCACCAAGTCCCACGTCGACCTTCAGTCAGAGGCTAGTTCACCCGTCTCTGTTTGCCACACACACAGATTAGGTATCTCTTCTCAGTACCGACGGTACTCTGCTTACAGTGCTATCAAAACAACTGCATGGCCCGATGATTTTAGTTGATCGTTCAGTGTAATAGATTAGCCCAACCTGTTTGGTTGTGAGTAGGAATGAGAATACATCATTTAACAAGTACATAATTGAAACATACTGAAAAAGGCATAAAACGTTTATGAAATGATGTGATGGAACATCTTTCACAATTTACAACTATTGCATTGTTCTCAAATATGGAATCCTATCACTTGTGTGCATATGGTGTTTAATAAAAATTAAGAGGTGAAAATATGGTCTTTGGGGTTCGAACTATGCGCACATTAAGAGATAATTATATATATTATCAGTATCTTTTAATTTACGTTCAAATTGCATTTATAATATTGTACACTTTTTTCCAGATTCTCATTACAACTGGCAACAACCATGTCCCGAATTTTAAGAGATGTCACCAAATACTTGATGAGGATTGATGATAGTTTTAAACTTTAAACTTTGTGTGTGGTGAAGTATCGTAACTAATATAGAACAGAGTACACGTTTTGAAAAATATCTGTAACTGATGCATCATTTGTCTATTTCTGTTTTAAGTTTCATCATTAGTAATGTACGTTAATGTTTTCCTTGTAAGGATTCTTGCCCCAAACGTTATAATTCTCGTTGTTACAGTTTACGTAAACGGGGACCTTTCAATCCTTACCATATCTACATGTACCAGGCAATTTAGGATAGAATCACTGATTATTAGAGAATCAAGGATTGTGGGGGTGTGAGGGGTGTGTGTGTGTGTGTGTTAAAGGTTTCGTTCCCATCCATTTTTGATAACTTGCTAATTATTATATGATAACGCGATAACATTACACAAACCAGTGATACACATGACGTGCGGCGATCGACTATACTACTGATATTTGATTTATGAATAAGAATTGGATACGTTTTGCGATATGTTAATAAATAATTTAGGACCAACATCCTTTTTATCAAGAAAACGATTTCAATATTTTGAACTTGAGGACAAAGTATTAGTCCACTTCAGCATTTTCGGGTTTGGAAAATTGAAAACAACTCACAGCAGCAACCTCCGAAGGGTAGGACCCAAACTTCTTTGGCAAAAATAATGTCATAACCAGTGTTTAAAAATCTACGAGTTGAGGTAGATCGATGGGACATTATTATTAAATTACACAAAACATAAACTGTTGACATTTTGTGTGGAATGTCAGTGTGAATTCCCAACATAAATTGATTAATGTCAATTTAAGATTCGTTTGGGGAAGGTGACATGCTAGATGGTCTGAAAAAAGAGAGAGAGAAAATGTATGACTTGATGCAAAAATCCTATTGTCAAACACATTAATACCATGACCTCAGTACCTCATCGGACCCGTGAAGACCCGGGATAGAATAGGTCTTCAGCAACCCATGCGTGCCGTAAAAGGCGACTTACGGGATCGGGTGGTCAGGCTCGCTGACTTGGTTGAAGCATGTAATCGATCCCAATTGCGTGGATCGATGCTCATGATGTCTGTCACTGGATTGTCTGGTCCAAACGATTATTTACAGACCGCCGTCATATAGATCGAATATCGCTGAGTGTGGCGTAAAACAACAAACAAACAATCAGTACCGCATTTCCGAGTGCGTGATTTCCATGTGTAACCATGTGTTTAAACAATGTTAACTAGTAACGCTGAATATCCGGTTCGGTTCCCTCGTGGGTACACCGCGTGAAGCCCATTTCTGTTGTTGCGCTGGAGTGAGTGAGTGAGTTGGGTTTAACGCCGCTTTTAACATTATTCCAGTTATATCACGGAGTGTCAGCTTATTGTGGGAGGAAAGCCCGAAGTGATGCAGGTCTCAGCCGTTTACCACTTCGGTGAAACCCACGAGTACGGGTATGGTGCTGACAAACCTAGAAACATAATCGGGGCGAACCGGGATTCGAACCCACAATCATAGGTTTCTAGCGTGCCCAAGGGACGCAACTCTGCACAGCATATCGCTGTTGCCCTGGAATAGTGCTGATCATGATATTACTACTGCTCGAATACATTTGTATTTTAAGTGTTGTATCAGAATACAAGCTGTGCGTGTTGCTTTACAGATTTACACACTACCAATTTGTAACAAACAATAAAACTGTTGTAAAATATTTATTAATTCAAATCCCATTCGTGATTCGTCATAAATAGTAGGGAGCACGTGTATATATACAGCAATCATCAATCCATAAATATGTATTATATACAATATTACCAAATTAACGCACTTCGTGGTAGGCGCGGCGGTGGGTTCGCAATGTGCTCGCTCGGCACTATGAAGAACCAGTTCGATTCCCTATACAAGTGTATTGTCGCAACTGGCATTCCTCTGTCAAAGAGAAGCGTTTCAGTATTGACTCTCTGAATCAATGCAGATGTGTTCCTTGAATCAGGTGTCTGTACACGTTATCAGTCTGTTTCTTGTGTCAACGTATACGTATTTGAGGAAAGTACACGCTTTGACTGTTCTTTACCAGTGAGACATGTGCGCATATTCTACATCCAGCGGCAGCAAGACAACTTCAAGACTTTGCAGGCGCTCACTGCCTGCAGTTGACGAGCTGGTCACGTGTCTCCCACGTGACATCACCGCGTCGTTTTGAGCACACTTCTCCGTCCTTGATGTCAGCAGGGTCAAGATCAACGTTTGGGGGAACAAAATTTGCATCCCACATGTCCGGCGTAGCGCTCCATGGAAGTGCACCAATGGCAGACAAGGGGACGTTGAGGAACTCTGCAAGATGGGAAAAGTCGCAGGGTGTCTGTGGCTGTCTGTGACTTTCTAAGAAATCTGTAAAAATACAATATATATTATTACATTAGCACTTGAGAAATCCAATAAATATATGGAATGGGTGTTTATTAATGTGGAAGTGCGACGCCTAATAAAATAATGATAGCTTGTTTGTTTACCGCCTTCAGCAATACTCAAGCTTTCTCACGGAGTTTGTATGTGATCGAGTTTTGGCCAGACACACCAGTGGCTGATATGAGCAACGTCCGATGCCGTTTGGGTGAGGTGAGGTGAAATGGGGTTTAACGTCTCGTCCAAGATTATGCCACTTATATAGCGACGTGCATTTAACGTCTTTTGGTATGACGCGGCCGGGGATCGAACCCCGGACATTCCGCTCTCCGGGCGGACGTTCTACCACTAGACCACAGAGGCGGTCCCGATGCCGTTTGGGTATGTTAACACGCTGCCAACTAAGTCACCACTCCTAAACATGAAACCCGGAGTCAAACAGGAGAGGACATAGGACATGGTAGGACAGTATAATATCTTCACGGTTTCTTACCTCCATTCACTATAGGAAGCGGGAATCCGCCAGGTGGTGCTGCTACTTGGCCTAAGTGCACTTCCGGTTGATCTGCGCATGCGTTGTTATTCCCGTCTGACGGATCAGTGTGGTCTCTCTTACACTTGGCCCGCTTGTTTTGGAACCACACCTGGATGACCCTCTGGTCCAGACCGGTCTCCCCGCTCAGCCTCTCACGCATCTGTCGAGATGGCTTGGAACACGATGTGAAAGCTGTTGTCAGGATGTCCGTTTGGAGATCTGTCAATGAGGTCCTCGATTTCTTTTCTTGAAGTTCGAGAACCTCCTGTTCACCTAGAATGAAACAAATACTGGTTTTAGAAATGCTATGCATGTATAACGACACATTACCAATAGATCTTGATATCATTTTAAATGAAAATCCATAGGCAAAACACAAGGGCTTTTTGGACAAGATGTTCCAACTAACGTTCTGTGTAATGAGATACTTTACCTTATGTGAATAATATCGAGGTCACGTACTCATTCAAAACAAGTATGTAATATACCTGTTTTATAAGCATTCTAGAGTGAGTGAGTGAGGTTTTTCGCCCCTTTTAGCAATATTCCAGCAATATGACGGCGGGTGACACCACAAGTGGGCTTCACACATTATAGCCATGTCGGGAATCGAACCCGGGTCTTCGGCGTGACGAGCGAACGCTTTAACCACTAGGCTATCCGACCGCCCCGGAAGTTGGTGAGAAAATAAGAGAACATATGATTGCCAACTTTTGGTACATTTATTTATGTCGATGTAACGGTGTAAGAATCTACATCAAGCGTCGTTAATGCAGTATACCCGAAGTTGTCATCCATAAAGTTGTATGTTCCTTTTAGACATGTAATGTAGTAGTTATATTTATAACTTTCAGATAAGAGAATAAAACCCATTGTTATTTAATCGTTTCAGTTGGATCCCTAGTCTTAACCTTTGATGATAGAATACGTCTTCCAACATGAAGTCTGTCGAGTTGTTACGTAATCCCGTATCGCAGCTTCACTATCAAGTTACGTATGATATCGAAGAGGATGTTGTTGCAGTTCTAATGGGATGCTACAGAAACGTTATTCCAAATACCAGTACAGTCCTACCTGTTAATGGACTGATAAACATGTTTTCAGGGGGATTTACGTTATTCAAAATGAAGTTAAAATCAGAATTGCGTCTCAGTAAATCTGTTTGATAGTCTTGTCTAGTCTTATCAGGTCCATAAGTCCATGGACACGTTGTACGAGTTAGGGACCTTATGGACATGGAGGGTGGATGTCCTTGAAACAGAAGTGTTATAAAACACATGCTCGCTGTCCCATATCAGTGGCAAAATGTCTTCAAGCACATATAAGGTCACTAACAAAATTCCCCTTTGGGCAATCGTTTTGTCCAGGTGTCCAAGAACCGCGCTTTTTTGTGACTGGGGAAGTTTGTGATGACAAACTGAAAGATCTTCCCGAAATGCGCATTCTGTGGATGCTAGCAGCGACAAAACTAACACCGGTAGACACAAAATCAGCCAACAAAGGACATGCATATTCACGGACACCAGGAGTAATGAGAGGGTTCCCAACACCTGGACTCAAGTGACCACAATGAATGACCGGTCTGCTGGTTGTTACGCTTGACCATCCACCGCAATGAGTGACCACATTCAGCAATAACAATAGCCTACCATTATAGGCTAATCCCACCATATTCTCTGATCTCCCGCTCCGGCAAACGCTTGGGGGGTTAAGGATCAGACACGGTCTGTAATTAGACCGTCTGAGTTTCAAATGTATCGGTTGCATATTTATTACTGTATGTATTTAATTTTCCATAAGGTATGTCATATTAGGCCATACAGTCTTTCTTGGCTTGATGAGTGTTGTGTTCAAAATTCTAATTGATATAGGGTAAAAAATAAAAATAAAAATATTATTGTATTTGTTCTTCGAAAACGTATCTGAATTCGCTGCTACATATGCAGTGTTAGTTGCCCCTATCTTGTCTTTTAACTTAGTCTTGGGGTTTATTTGTGTGCACAAATTTGGTTTCAGATCAAAACTTTATTTCTTGCTGGGGAATAAAAAAATATTGCTTTAAATACTATATTTTTTCAAAAGCATTTTTTTGAGTTTGAAACTGTAGTAAACTATTTAAAACTAGATCTTGTCTCATTATATATCGCCTACTGGCGGTTCCATTCTAACCTTCATCAATAAAGTTCAAATCGATAACCGGGCAGTGTCTGTTCTGTCAATGTGTTCACTATAAATTGATCTAATTATGATTTTTAGTAAGGTCCATATCATATATTTTCTCACCTGTGTGTTTGTCACTGTGGTAGTCCTGACTACAGATGAGACGCCCGTCATCTCGCAGGTAAAATTCATCCCCCGTTTCAAGTTTACTGTCACAGGCGACGCACGTGAAGCACCTGACGTGGTAGATATTCTCATGGGCTCGTCTAACGTTCTCTGTGGGTGGTATCCCACCCCCACAGCCGGCGCATCGGGTGCCAAGTAATCTGTCAAACAACCACATTTACATTAGGATACTTATGTGCATGTTGAATCATGTATACTCGAGGGAATAAATATTCTAAATAGTTTTCTTTTGAAAAAAATACCATTAGGTTTGTAATCTTATTTCTTATAATTTCATTTAAAGTTCCAGGATTTGTGAAAGGCAACATTTGTTATGGTAATTAAAGAATAACTGCTTGCATCAAATGTTGATTTGAAAGCATTTGAAATGTCGTGCCATTATATTTCTTTCAAAGCACAAAGGGTATTTTTATTAGGGATACAGTGATCCATTAACATTGTTGTGATAATTTTCTTTGCAACTTTGATTCGTTATGAATATCATATTGCCTGTTGTATAACTTTACAGATATTTAGTATGTTTACCTGAAAAAGTCTTTTTGACAGAATACTTGAGTTCCACGTGCAAAACAGGTCTGGTTAAGAACCTCGTGACACACACAGCATCGGAGGCAAGCCGAGTGCCAAAGTCTTCCCTGCACCCGCAGGATGAACTCATCCAGGATGACATGGCCACACCCGGTACACAGTGGTGGTCCTGTAATACAGCAAGACCAGGTACATGTATAGGCAATAGATAAAATGTGCAACATTTTACTGTTTTGTGACATATACCGCAAATGTTAAAAATCATTTTATCAGATAAATATTTAATTTTGACAATTTAATATTCGTTAAACACGTTTTATTCTACAACAATACATTCCATCAAACATAGTTCTGAGAAATATGAAGGTACAAAAAACAATATATAAATCGTAACTAAAAAGCACTGGTTATGCTTTAACATCAGATGATTGAGTGAAAAGTACGACAAATATAGAGAGGTCATTTTTGAAAGAAATTAGAATACTGCTCCTTTTAAATTCTATTGAGCAATTGATGATGTTGATTGATCAAGCTGCGGTCTACTATCTGATACTTTCAACCCATACTGGTCATTTTAAATATGACATTGAAGATGTCTGCTAATAGGCTTGGACTACTGACAAACGAACATGACGACATTGACAAGTAAAATTCAAGCTTACCGTTGCTTGTCATCTGCAATTGCGAGAATCCTGACTCACTTGGGGAATTTGATGAAGTGGGTAGGGACGCTGCCCCACCCCCAGGGGACATGACGTCACTTCCGTTCATTATCATCATACAATAGGTAGTAATAAGAAATATTCAGTACGTCCCTTAAATAGCAAATGCTTCAAACTTCGATTCTTAGGAATCTTCTCGCCAAATATTGCTGCTACTGGGAAGACCATCAAGCACACATACTGACATTACGTGGTGATACGAAGATATATATACCTGTAATAGTCTCAGACATACGGTTGACATCAGACTTGTGAATTGCTCGCGAGTAAGGATTTCTCGGTCGGTGATTGGACGAAAAGCCAGACGTCTGGAATCGATAGCTAATCAGATATCGCGAAGCTGGGTGCTAGACAGTCACGTGACAACACACGGACGACCGCCTGGTAAATTGTCGGTGTTTAGCAATCATGGCCTTGTCTAGTTTGTTTTGTCATTAGAACTCCAGATGTATGTCTGTGTTAGAAATACCTGCGAAATCTTGATAGCTTTGATAGTAATAAAACATGTTAGTGTCATATTTTGTGTGTGTGTGTGGTGGGATTTTACAGGGTCACAAAAAAATGTACGTGGACAATTGCTGTTCATAACTTACAGAAATTCGAAGTCGACGAAACAGGATGAAATGATGTTAAATACTTGTGAACACATAATTCATAAATTTTCATCAGCTACGTCACAATCCCTTTAATTCCTAATTCAAATATTTAAACAATTGCATAAAATTTTACGGACGTTGTGGAATATGTTTGTTGATTTGTTTCAGTAATAGAGTAAGAACCCCTGACCTTTCTTTATCCATATATAATGTACGTTTATCAGCATATGGAAATAGTTTAAATAATTTCAGAAGTGTGCGACATTGTATGCTGGCTTAGTATATAGTTGTGCCTTATTTATTACGAGGGTTATTCGACCATGGCGTAAACATTATCAGTGTCTTTAAACATCACTCATGAACGTTGTGCAAACACCCAAAGTTGGTGTGCTATCGGCCAGACAAGTACAGGGTAATTCACCCGTCTCCCCACCCGTACAGCAAACAGCTGACGGGAAAAGCTTGATCCTTGTCTCACTCCTCGCTGAACTGAGACAATAAACGCCGGTAGTGCTTCACGCGGCGGTCTTGTCGCTTTGACAATACGTCCAACGGAGCGGGAAATCTCCCCTCAGTTAATTAGCTTACAGCGACCTAGACACGATTAGGTCAGGGGTCGTAATCTTTCTGATAGGGAAATTAACCCGTCTGAGTGTATTAACTCATTTTTGTTGTTGTTTCAGTAGATTCAACTTGTGATATTATATTCTTGATTAAAAGAAGTGTGTATGGTTTTCCTTTTTGTCTGAGAAACATCGTAACAATTCTTTTAAGTACGATTTTGTAAAAACTATTTCCGACATATTTGTTTTTGTTATCTGCAGAAAGGCATCAACACATTTGATATATTTCTTCATCTGTTAGCCCAAGAGAAACTTCAAAATGAAGACAATCCAGTGACTGGCATCATGAATTAGAATACAATGACATGCATCCACCAAGTCAGCGGCCTGACCACCTGACGACAAGCTCCTTACGACAAGCATAGTCGCCTCTTATGGGTTTGCTGAAGACCTATTCTAACCCGGATCTCCATCACTATGGGGAATTCACGGTCGCTCGTTTATTCTTTGAACACGCGGCCATCATCTTCATCCCTCTGCTGCTGGGATAAAATATTAGGAAAACTAATGTAGACGACTGAATTTGCCCATCAGGGAAATTTCAACCCTCTAAGTAATCCTGTCTAGTTTTCACCAGGGTAATTAACCGTCGAGGATTTCACGCTCCGATGAAGGCATTGTGTGTTGACAGTTTGAATGTGTGAACAAACAATAATGAATTGTGTTTTCCCCCGGATGAGTGTTAGACAATATAAGAAAACAACAATCTAGAGGCCAGCTGAGCTATCGAGACGGTGGAATTACTTTCTCTGCGCACGGTCAATTACCTGAGCAAAGGTAAACAGGACGTCGACATGTTAGCATTCAGGACCAACTAACGCACTAACTAACCTTTGTGCTGCAGTGAAAGTTTGAACTATTAGAACACAATTTGTATATATTTTCATGTTTTAATTTCACTGTGCAGAGACACTTTGCATAGAAGGAAGGTCTCATTTATTGAGAAACTGTTTTGGGGGTTTCGAGGATATTTACACAAATGATTATTTATTCCATTCCGATTGTATATTTATTCAATAACTACGCACCACCTGTGGTGCAAGAACAGTATAGGCTATTGATAACTGGCATCCATAATGTTAAAACCACGGCGACGGGACATACACAATTAGATTTACATCTTTAGCGTCATGTCAATCTTTCAAATTTACTCAGTTGTTTTAATTCTCTTTAATATAAAATATAAAACAGATTTCACATATTCAGTCAGTTAAGATACTTTTGAAAAATTCAGCTCGTAGTCTTTGATTTCTTCAAGCTCTGCAGCCGAATGATGAATGCAAATAGAACGCAAGGTCGGTGAGGTGGAATGGGTTTTACGAGGGCTGGTCAAAGAGTTCTAAGCCTGACCAACTTTCAACTATGTTCTATAACAAAGTGAACTAGTCAATGTAGTACATGTAGTGTATTTGGTCTGTTGAGGACGTTTGTATGTTAGTGACAACCAGTTGATAGGTGTCCAAATGGACACATAAATAGAAAAGGACGAGTACCGAGTACTCATCAAGTTTTCAACTTTAGAAAAAAGTGCTCCTCAAGAGATTCATGACCGCATGTAACAGGTGTATGGGGATAAGTGTCCTAGTTAAACGTTGGGCAGCTATGTTTAAGGCTGGGAGAACAAGCCTTGATGATGACCCCAGGTTCGGACGTCCCTCAACTTCCATCAATGAAGATTCAATCGCAGCCAGACATTGTAAGCTTACTTGGGCTAACTGTAAAGATTTCGTGGCAAGACATAACACAACATTCAAACACACACATGTCAAAGGACTCTAGCCTTTTCTAGAATCCCACCAGAGGCATGGCTAAATGCTGAAGGCCATGTTCCTGCAGTACAAAGTCAGTACAACGTGACGGCGTAGATGTCACGTTGTTGCACTTAGTCTAGTTATCACACTTTGGGTGATACAGCAGATTCATATACATAATATACGTCACATACGTCAAGAAATCCGAAGAACATCACATACATGTACTTCTTGATTGTAAAAAACAACCTTCCAATACTCAGTCTGTTTCATAGCTTTTAACTATTCCATCAATTTTGCAAGCGAATATAATGCATTACATTTCTTAATTGCTACGCCGTCAACGCAAATCTCTATCAAGTACAATAACAGCAATATTTTGAGATCACTCAGGTGACATTTGCACTTGTACAATGCACGGGCCGCTGTGAGGTCATCACCTCGGAAGACAGGTGTTAGGTAATTACCTCAGGCTATAGGCCGTTTCATACATGCATGACAACACTCGACTTTTTTTTTAGTTTATCATCATTTTACCTGTAAAAGTACCTTTGAAGTTAATGCAGCAATTTGTAAACACACAGGTTGTTGTCTCAGTGCGCAAGACACTGCATTCTTGTAGAGGCATCGTCAGAGACTGGCCACGTTGTCTTTCTGATGTGCCAGAAAAAGAAATTGCAGCCGAGTTGAAAGAACGAGGTGAAACGTTTTACCAGGAAACATGATTCAGACATTGTAAAAACTAACACTTACCTGTTTACTTTTGGAACGACATCTCTTCCCCCATGGTGCTACGTCTTGCCATGGCACTGGTGGCGCTAGTATTTTGGTGAGACAGGGTGTTGTCCATAGCCCTGTCCCTCTAAAACGCTACCTTCAAGCTCTTTCTTTACACATAACCTTCACGCTTCGCTCCTTGTACCTTTCCCCGTCGTCTTCTCTTCAGCAGTATGAACTTCAGGATTTGTTTGACCAGCTCCCAAGACCCTGTATCACCATGGGTGATCTTAATGGACATAACCCTCTATGGGGAAGTACTGATACTAACAATAAAGGGAACATCCTTGAAGACTTCATTTCAAATATTTTTTTTTTCATATTTAATGATGGATCAGACGCACATTTACATCCCGCTACTACTTTCAGCTAGAAACCCGAGGGATGACCCACCTGCGACAAGGTGGAATTTTATTAAGGTCCCTATACCACACTGTGACGTTAAATTTTAACTCACTCACTCACTCACTCTATACCAAAACCTTGCCGGGATCATACCGATCCATCTAACTATCGACCTATTTCTTTAACTAATGTTTGTAAAACCATGGAAGCATGGTCAATAATCGACTAGTGTGTTTTTTAGAAACCAATGATCTTATAACTAATATTTAATTTGGTTTCCTCAAAAATAGAAGTACTATTGATCATTTGGTTCGTTCAGAATCATTCATGAAAAAATCCATCCATGCTGTATCGATCTTTTTCGACCTTGAAACAGCTTATGATACATTATGCAAACGAAGTATTTTAAAAGATTTACATGACTTTGGTATGAGAGGCCGTTTGCCTTATTTTATGTTGCAGTTTTTAACTGACAGACACTTTCAATCATTATAATCAGGGGATTCCTCAAGTCATGATCAGTATTTTTTCCCCACATTTTTCAGTATAAAAATCAATAGTTTTAAAAGTATTAAATAACTCAATTGATGGGTCATTGTTTGTGAATGATTTTAAGATTTCATGTTGTAAAAATATGCATACTATTGAAAGACAATTACAATTGTGTCTTAAAAAAAGTTCATGAATGGTCACTTGAGACTGGCTTTAACCAACGTAGACATTCACTCACCTTCTCTCTATTCTGCGGTGGCCCATAAGGGACACGGAGTCTGTTTTTCAATATTTTGATATTTCATTTACTTTTATCATAACCTTTTGCAAATTAACACAATTTGTCATGCAAATATGTGATAAATCATGTATAAAAACAACCGAAAACTTGGAAAATGTACTTTCAAGTAGCTATTGAATCGCTGAAATGTGAAGCGAAAATGTCAAAAACTAAAATGGAAATGTCAAAAACAAAAACGAAAAAGGTCAAAAACTAAAATGAAAATGTCAAAAACAAAAACGAAAATGTCAAAACCAAAGCGAAAATGTCTGTATTTTCATTTTAGTTTTTGACATTTTCGGTTCACTTTTCAGCGATTCAATATCTTCTTTATACATGATTTATCACATATTTGTATGACAAATCGTGTTAATTTGCAAAAGGTTACGATAACAGTAAATGAAATATA